TGTCGTCGACTAAAATTAATCACAAAATTTTTCAAGAAATGTTTTTTGTTTTAAATATACCTATATTCTTCTTCTTCTTCTATTCGATCATATGATGATTCCATATTTCTTAAATCATCATCCTCGTCATCACATAAAAATCGTCCACGATATCTTAAAAGACAAATTTTAATATATATATATATATATGATTAAAAAGATCAACGTACTTATCTTTATCAAAACCAAAATTTTTCTTTAAAGTTTCTTGAAGTTCTTTTCGATAATCAAATTCATCATTTTCATCATCGACAATAAAATCACGCATTTCTAAAAAAAATAAAAAGAAAAACAAAATAAATTTCAATTTCATATCTTAATCTCATAGTTAAATTTCTAATATCAATGGAAAATAATATTCTCTAGTTTGTCCAAGTAAATATTTTCTAGGAATAGACATCGACATGATCAATAATTTTTAGTCACGGTCACGCCGATGTTTGATCACGTCGCACCAAATCTTTTCCTACTATTTTTATTATCGTACGTTGACATCTTTGCTATTTCTGTATCAAACACCATAACAGAGAGACTGTTTTCTATTTCAAAAAATATTTTCAGGACGACTCTCCTATTCTGATTAGAAAATTTCTCATTGAGAGTATCAAAGTAGAGTTCGAACATTTTGAACTCGACGAGTTCTAGCTCTCTACAGTATACAAAGCGAACAATATATGGGAGTGTTCAATCAGTCAGGATACTCCAGTTCCTATAGCCTCAATCATACTTTTCTCATATACAGTTAAGGCTATAAGAGAACAAATAACTTGATCATTCTAGCTAATTGGATGCTTCCATATACATAAGAATATTAACCTAGGAAACAATATTTTTAAATGGATATTTAGTTTTTCTATAGATACATGAACCTTATTCACTAATTATCCCGTTGACACATAAGTTCTACAGGTTTGGATTAGTAGAATTATATTGCCAATATAAAACTACAGTTAAAGGAAATTAATTATATTGTGATAGCGCTCAGAATTTTCTATCACTCTGTGTATTTAAGTCTTGACTTGCATTTATTTGCTGAAAAATATTTCGAATACAGTGAAGACACCTACACCCTCAGATCCCTACAAACTCCATTTTTTAGAAAAGTAACTATATATTCTGAGAGCCCTTGAAATGCTCTATCACTCTGTACATTCAGATCTTGGTTTGAACTTATTTACCGAGAAAGTATTTCAAACATTGTCAATGCGGATGAGGGTGTTTTCATTGTATTCAAAATATTTTTCAGCAAATAAATGCAAGTCAAGATCAAAATATACAGAGTGATAGAGAATTTCGAGCACTATCAGAATATATAATTCTACTGATCCAAACGTGCAGAACTTATGTATCACTGGGATGATACATTGATCTCGGGAAACAAAGTACTGAATGTGAATGAGAAGTTGTATGTATCGTATAGAATCATTCGAGAAGAAACGATGAAAAATCATGACTCCAACAGAAATACTTTTTCTCGATGAACAACATGTTCTATAAAAAACGTACACGAACGGGAAAATAACGATAGCACGATGAA